GGTGTGGCCAGGTACGGCTGAATCAAAGCCCGAGGTGCGGCTGTATTCCTCCAGCCATACGGCGAGGCTCGACCTTCTCAATTTTGTCCAAATGCGCCAAAGTACCGACGTGAGAGAAATCGGTCTTTCCTTGACCTCATTCTTCGGCAGCAAGGCAACCTGCACCACCTGAAGCTGAAATGGAATGCTGACCTGGCCTTCCATTTCATGAAACAGATCTGTGAGCATCTGATACCCCTGGTCGGTTAGGTTCCTAACCGCCTTGTAGGACCAACAGTCAATACCACCTTTTTTATTGCCGGTTTTGTGGCATGCGGTCTTGACATCCTCCCATTGCAGAGGTGGGAGCGCACCTGCTTGCATGCGGGCTTGAGCTGTCAGGCGAGCTCTGGCAGCCGAGAACTCCATCCGAAGGTAGGCCCGGCACAAAAGACTTTTGTCTCGGTACGGACGCAAAGTAGTTTGTTCAGGGCCCTTGATGGCCTTGTACACCGGCCCCAGATGAGCCTTTTCAGCTCCAATGATCCAACCCAAGAAGTCATCTTTTTCCTTGGCGGATTGCGTCTTTTTGGACTCCTTGGCTGCTTGGATCGCTTGCTGGAGTAGGGTCTCCTTGAGCTCCGCAGCGCCTTGTGGGTTTTGCAACCATGTTCGACAACTCTGGTTCCACTCTGCATTGGGGCACTGCTCCAAGGACTGGGACATAACCTTTTGTGGAGGCAAATGTTGTGCACGAAGCCAAGATTCCCATCTGGTCCAGAAGGCGTGCTCCTTGCCATACCACAAGCGTGGCCTCACTGGGGCGGCTGCTTCCCAACACTCCTGAGAGCTTGGCTGTAGCTGAGAAGGCCGCGCACTGGACCGATACGGGATCATCAACCTGAAGCTCAAGGACCTGAACTTTGCCAGGCAGGACAGGTTGGACCTGTCCAAGCCTTTGTTCCTGAGTGATTGGCTCAAAATCGTCTGCACAAGCCCTCAGTCCTGGGACGAGGTCTTTAGTGGCTTCAACTTGCCAAGCAAAATGCAGCGCACAGTGGGGTTTAAAAGGGACCGCCCAATCAGGCCGTACACGGACAAAGCGGTGCAGCGACGGGTGTATGAGCGCGTAGTCCAACTCATTTGGACCCCCCGCCGTGCCATGCCCTGTGCCCAAGAATTGGCCTTTAAAGACCTCATTCAGACGTGTACCTAAGACCTCCGGCAAATGGGAGTTCCAGTCCCCTGCTATAAACCATGGGCATCGCAACGAAGCTATGAGGCTTTTCAGTTCTGCCAGAATCTTGGCATTGATGGCGCCATCGATGAAATGGCCCGATTGCAGGTACATGGAGATGCAGGCCACGTTGGTTCCCATCGGACCAGCACAGCCTCGAAACCACAGCCCGTGGTGGGGTCTTGGAACCTATGTATGGAGGCGCCTTTCAGGTGGGTCTTGACAAAGACCGCGCATCCTCCAACTGGCTGCTTCCTTGAAGGGCTTGTCTGGGAGTGCACTTCATAGCCCAATTTTGCCATTGAAATGGTTTCTTTGGCCAGTGCATCCGCATGCCAATGCACCTCCTGCACTAAGACCACCTCAGGACCTGCATCCACCAGCCATTGCCTGTACTCCACTCTCCACGAGCTGACATTGGCACACAGCGGGGCTCCGGGGCCTTTCTAGTCGAAAGTGCAACGTCTTCAGCAGCCCTCAGTATCCTAAACCAAGTTTCGGGGCTGTCATCATCCATGGTCGTGGCATCGCAGGCTTTCTCCAGAATCCAGCTGCACAAGGTTTGTTCCTGGCTTATTGCCTCCAGGTCCTCCACCACACTGACCAGAAGGCTCTCATGGTCCCAGCCAGGGTTGGTGATCTTGCGAGCGCACAGGCCTGCCATGGCCGACCACGATGTCAGTTGCAACTCAGCCTGGCCCCAAGCTGCTCCTGCGGCACCAAAGCTTTCCTTTGACTGCTGGAAAATTGAGTCTGGCTGCTCAGCCCTAAAGGCGAGGCCTGCTGGGAACACGGACCCCCCCCAACCTAAATTGGAAGTGAACGGCTGACCCTCAGTGCGTTGGGAATCCTCCCCAGGCTTTTGAAAAACTCCTTATTTTGCGCTGCACCCGCCGAGAGTCCCGCCCCAAACTGATTGGCAGACATGGCGAAAAAAGGCTTACCCTCTGCGGTGCATTGAGCTTCGTCACTTTGGAAAACTGCTTGTGTTGCGGGCGGGACAGCCAGCTGGGAGTCCGCTCGCTGCCCTCGTATAGGCTCCTTAATTGGAGTTTGCCCTTCCGAAGCTCCCGCTTTGAACTGCTCTGCGTGGGCGAGACGTCCTGCATTTCAACCTCAGTCCCTAAGGCGAGGTGCGGTGCCCAATGACGCATCGGTCCTGGGCTCAAAAGTTGACAGACCTCTGGATTCATGTAAGACCTGTCCTGTAAGGTACCTCCACTTGCTTCGGGCATAACAGCCAGCCGGGATTGCTCCCGCCAACTTCTAAAAGATTCCCTAGCTAGTGCAGGGTACGCAGAAGCTCTCATCTCAAAATGTTCTGCAGACATGACGGAAAAAGGCTTACCCTCTGCGGCGCATTGAGCGTCCGGCTGTCGGAAAACCATTGTTGCGGGCGATACACCCACCATGCGGACCTCATTCGCTAAGGCGAGGTTTGATGCCCATTGACGCATCGGTCCTGGGCTTAAACACAAGCGACATATGCCTAGGTGTATGTTCGGCCTGTCATGCAGATCAGCAAAACATATGCAGCAAAGAGGCAGTGGTATAACAGGCTCAGGGCACTCCCCTTTAACCCCATAGAGGGCCTCCCACAAAGAGATTCTAACGGAGCCCAAAACCGGGGTTTGCTTCGCGAGTCTCGGCCGTTGCCTTCCGAGCCCTCAGGCTGGCCTCCCTTGCCTGCTTTCTGGCACTGAGGCTGGAGGCTTAAGCCCGGCGGGGCTTCGACCAGGACTCTTCTCCGCTTGGCCTCTTCCTCCTTAATTGCTTCCAGCCTTCGCTTCTGCTCATCCGTGAGCTGCGCATCTGTCATCCCGCCAGCCATGCCTAGTGCTTTGAGTACCAAGTCCACCGGGTCCGGGTCCTCCGTCTGGCCCAGGACTTTTTGCTGGTAGACCAGGGTTTCCTGGTTTGGGCTTTTCTGATGTCATCCTGCAACTGCTGCATCTTCTTGAGCTGGACCAGGAGGTTTGCCTTGCTGGCGTCGATGCGAGACTGCAGCGCACAGCCTCAGCATATTGTCCGCAACCTCCCTGCCTTCCTCGACCGGGCCAAGGGTCGGCTTGGTCGGCAGTGCAGCAATGACCTCAGAAGGCAGCTTGTCCTCAAAGTTCGCAGCAGCGCAATCAAGTCTTTTTTTTTCGGTGGCATTCTCAGGTGGCTGATAACCTGCCTCCTCCAGAGCCTTCTTTGCCTGGCTCGGCATGGCTGGCCACATCGACTCCAGGGCTTTGCGCAAGGGTGCTGGGATCCTGGCCCGTTTCGGCCGGCTTTGCTTGGTCTCCCATGGTTCCTCTTGCTGCCACTGCTGCGGCCAATGCGCCCATGCTTCGCCTGCTCCGGTGGGCGCTGGACCTGCACCTGCCGTTTGGGCCACGCAGTTCCACACCACTGACACACGGGTCTCGACCAGACCTTGTCCGTGCGAACCCACGACTCTGGCCCGCACGTGGCACATGTGAGAAACCGCGGCATTGCTCAGCCCAGAGGCGAGGAAGTGCAACTTAGAGGCGTTAGGTTGAGCCCTTCCTGGCTACAAACAAGTAAAGCTCAGCCTTGCGGCGAGTAGGTTGTAAGAGCACTGCGTGCCCTCAATCCCTCAGGAGAGGAGGTTGTGATTTAACACTTCCACTCACAGGCGGAAGAGGCAAAGTCTAACCTCTCTGAGCCTATTGGTTGGCAACAGTCGCCACACCGCCCCCAAAATAAAAATGGTGCGGTCCCTTTGTGCCGGCGGCACTCGGATGAGGATCTCAGTTAAATCCTCCACACAAGTAGCCCACAAAAAGAAGTGCGACTGCTCACGCTCTACCAAAGCTAAGCTAACCCCTGCCCGCATACAGCTTGAGCCAGGCTTGAGCCACTTCCAGATCTTTCAGACCTCCTCATGAGACCCTTTCAGAGTTTCAGGATTGCCCAGACCCTTCCTGTCAACGACATTGGACTTCTTAGTCATGGCTTCTGAGGCCTTCACTTGAAACTCTGCAAGTGCTCTATGAGTCACTGCTTGCTCCCTCATCGGTGCTTCCAGGGGCTCAAAACTCTTGTTAGATTCCTGGGCCATCTGCCCTACATTTGTTTGCGTCGGTTGCAAAATCTGGCCAGAGATAGGGCTGCCGACTTTGGGCTTCCCCCACGGGCCACGGGTGGACATCAATCCACGTACTTGGACAACCGCGGCGCCAAAGCGTCCACAAGTGCCTCCGCAGCCTTTTTTCCTGAGGTGCTCAATTCTGACCTTTCTGCTTCTGGGATGCCCCCGGCCCAGCACCACGAGTGTCACAGGAGCCGCAGCACTTTGTGCTCCCATCTATCCGGCACAATAGAGGACGTGACAAGCGTGAGAAATCCACATGAGCACTACTTGAAAGTTGGTACATATCATAAGCATGAGCTTGCGAAAGTTGGGACGTAAGCAGGAACTGCAAGGACAGCCAAGAACCCAAAGTCGGAACGATAGCTACCATCCGGCGAACGTTTGCAGAGAAATTGAGAGCTGGAACAGCTCTGGACATGAGCCGGCGGATGATCCACACCGCAAGACCACCTGCAGAAGAAGTTGCACCCACAGGAACCCAAGAAGTGCTGGACGGCTATGTAACTTTTTCTGGCCCTTCTCCAGTGCTCCGCAACCATGCAGCGGACTTTTGGGCTCTTGTTGGCGATGCTACCCTTGATCACTAAGGGCTGCGGTGAACCCAACTACACTACACTAAAGACAGGACCCTAAACTAATCTCCAACAGATTAACACCACTAGATGACTGCGGCCTGACGGCTTCTTTCGTTTTTTGGCTTGTCGGTTGCCTTTGGCGCTTCCTGCCTGACTTCTCTCCGCAGGCGTACAAGAGTTTACCCACCGCAGCTTAGCAGCACGTGACCATCACTCTTGTCGTGAGATCTTCAAAATTCCTTGCCTGTGGCATTGGCGCATCTGGCGCAGCGAAGGCTGCAACTTCGCGGCCCTCGGGTGCTACGGTCTTTCCGCAAAGATCGCCGTGGGAGAGCGGCTTCTTGCTTTCAACGTTGCCAGCTTGGCCTCAGCAAAAGCGGTTGAAGCAAACTCTTGCAACCTTCCCCATTTTGTAGCTGGCAGCTGAGGAACTGAAGTGCTGATGGCACTTTTTGCAGCAGAAGCTTCCCATCTTTGCCGGGTTGACGTGCACCAAAAACGTGCATTCTGGGTTATGACACCGCTTTCGCTCATCCGGCGGAGCGGGCATGGTTTAGGATGGCCCAAGTCGAACGCGTGGAGGCATGTCACGCCGCCAAGGGTTTTCTAGAAGCCAGCGGCCATCATCGTCATCAGCACAGCACTGGTTTGGATGTTTGATTGTACATTCTGGCGCTTCCACGTGATTGTAAAATCTGCAAGCCAGTTCTGATAAGCTTATGATTTGTGCGAGCGTGAGCTTCCCTGAAGTTCGGGAGTGTAGGGTGGGAAGGCACTATGTCTTACCTGCAGAGGACTGAGAGCCTTCGTGCCAGCGGTGTGGTGTCTTCAGGTGTGTCGCAGTGACACCTCACTCCAACTCAGGCTCGGAGTGAATTGGATCACGGGTTCGTGTAAGCAATCTCACCTTTTCAACTTCTGCCCGAGCTTCTGCACCCTGGCACGGAACGTCTGCTGATGCTCACAGCAGGGAGTGCGTCTGGCATCTGCATCTAGCGGCGCAAGCTTCTCTCACGCAGCTACACCTCTAAGAAAATCATCGAAGGATAATTGCCTGGACTTTCCGTCCGAAGTGCTGCAGGCGCGGCGCAACTAGAGTCTCAGCCAAGCTATTCGGCACGAACATGAAAATCATTCAGCTACCTGGCCCTCCTTCTGTCTTGCTGGTTGCGCCGAGCCCACCCCATGAACGGCAACTTAAAATCTGCCGATGGTGCTGAGGAGCTTGACAGACAGGCGGCCGCCACCTTGCCAACAGCGACTGGACGGGTTCAGGTTTGGTTTTTCTTGTTTGGCTGCTTCGCTGGACTCTGGATACAGGAGCTTATTGGCATTTGTCTTCATGTCTGGATGAACTGTGCGCGTCCTAGGTCCCGAACGTGTCTGCTCAGCTCTTCGGCGGCGTGTCCTGGATGATCCGAAGATACAAAAGCGTTGGGCTCTTGAATCCAGACCGCCATGACTAGTGACAACTTGAATCAGATTGTCATTTGGGCTGAAAATTCTGGCGAGGGCAGCCGAATTTCTTGCACAGTGGGCAGAGCCCGACCTGGCAAGCTTGCGCAGAAACCTGCAACCTCAACCCCTTTGCTCACGATGCATTTTTCGGATTCCTGTCCTTCACCATGCTAAAGGCGGTGAATGATGCAATGTTCCCAATGACCTGAATGGGGCCCTCATGCCGACTTGCTGCTTGCATTGTGCTCGGTACATAGGATCCTCGCAGCAACGAGAAACACAATTCCATAGTTTCCAGGCGGAAGCCCCTGAGCATTCAATTTGTGTGCACTGTCCGTCGTCATGTGCAATCACACGATGCCTTAATATCTGCAGGTGATGCAGGAGCCTCCAAACCAAGCAGCAGAGACAGCGCAATTGTTGCGGCCTGCGCAGGCCAGAAAGCAGCAAAACAAGCCGATGAAATACATCGACCTAGCAAAGGCCTTGTTAAAGTTGCCTGCGAAAGTAGCATGCGTGGCGGACAGCTTGTGTACCTTGCAGGTCCGCGCGATGTGGCTTTGCCTCCGGATTTTGGCGACTTCTGGCGCACCATGGTATACTGCAGAATGTTGTAGAAAAAGGAAAGCACCTAGAAATTCCACACACGAGTTGCGACAATGTGCGGAACACTTCCTGCTGAATGGCTTCTAGAGCCAGGCACGCCAGATATGAGAACAGGAAGCAGCACAGAAGGCTTTGTCTGCCTCACTCTGCAGGACAGTTGTCTGGGCACAGTGTACGATTCTATTAAGGCCTCAAATCCTTCAGTGCCCCGGCAGGGTGGATGTCAATCTGTTCCTCTAATCCTTCTCTGTCTGTGTAGCAGAAATTGGCATGTGGCCATGCATGTGTGGCATTTTGTGCAGTAGGGCCCTAGATACCGTGCGGTTCTGCTAGGAAATAATTTGCAATAATGAGTGTATCCTTCTCCTCGCCGCTGCAGCATTCATGTCATTCCAGGTGCTCCGAAAAAGCCTACGCAGTCTGGCATACGAAGTGCTCTGAGTGGCCGGCATGACTTCTTGTAATATCTGCCAATCGGTCATGCTTTCTGTGTGTGGCCTGGCAAATGGATGCGCAGTGCACAGGAGCCTGCCTGAAATCTGTCATCGCGTCTGCTGAGAACATTTTTGCCGTGCTGGCTCTCACTAATGCACATGTTGGGGCCTAAGCTCATGCGACTCTTCTGACAACCGCTTTGCTGCATTGCAATGGAAGCCGGCACGTCCACTGAGCGACAGGGTGGTACACCACAAGCGAAGGCAGGATCAAAGCAAGCCTGACATTGAAGCCGACAGCTGTCAGTGAGGACACTTGCAAACATGCAGCAATCAACGCACCAGTACTTTGCAAGCCCTAACCCTGCCAGGCATCCCCAACAAAGGATCTGAAGCAAAGCCAACCAAAAAAGAGCTGCTCAGCAACCATGCTTCCAACGATGGCTTTGCCGATGCAAGTCGAACATCATCGAACGTCGTCGTTGTCGGATTTATTTTACGTCGTCGTATCACTGAAATTCGAAAACGACCCCAGGCCAAAACAAAATGCTTTGCTTTTGTTGCCAGTTTCCTACAAATAAACATCTCCTAGATGCACTCCCACTGCACATGTAAGAGAGCAAGCGAGCTAAGAACGAGTATCACCTCATTTCACTAGAGATAATGAAACGGGAACACACTGTGAGGGGTCCTTACTTGCTCAATTCTTGCTCACGGGCTTGCAGTGGACCCCTTCGCCAATGAGCTTGACGTAAACTCTCTTGCTGACAATATTCTTGCGCAGGACCTCCTTTTCCCCAGATCTACCAAGTCTTTCTGCCCGGCTCATGCTACCCCGATCTTCTGAGCATTTGGTGCGGCACGCTGTAGGCAACGACATGTAGCATGTCGTATCGAGCCTTCGCAGCCAACACTAAGCTAATAGACATTTTTCAAATTCCAGCGACAAATGGCCTAGGCTGAGGCTCGCGCGGATTCATCTTCATGCTTGTGCCCAGGATGCTGGCCAAAACCATGTTGACAGCACCGGCAAAGATGCTGCACACGGTTACCGTGATGCCTAACCTTCAGTGAGTCAGGGCCATGCACCTCTGCATAACACTACAGAGTTCAGTTTGCACGGTAATGGACTTCCCAAAAAGTACTTTTTTGCGTTTTTGCTGCACTTTAGCAGCCATGAAATCTTAATCTGCCTGCAGCTGCCTCATCCCAATCGGACAAGCAGAATTTTACAGGCGTGGCAAATTAGCGCACAGAGCGTGCACTATGACCCTGCCAGTAGGCCTGCAACTGCTGATGGCAGTGAAAGCAAGGGTGGGAGCTGTGAGACTGGCGGCCCCGAAGTTGCCCTTGCAGTCCACAGGTAACACATAATCAGTCCCTGGTACATGTGCCAGAGAGGCTTCGGACCAAAATTCAAGACCATGCCAAGGAAGCAGATGAGCGCCAGGTCCAGGTTGGCCTCGCGGCAGCTGCTGTAGGAGCACGGCAGGAGACGGATTTTTTGAAACTCCTACCCCCAGCATAGAACCCAAAGAGAAAGCTTCCTACATTTGGCCAATTAGCAAAGATAGTTCCCAGGAAGCGCCAGTAGAACCAAGCTGTGACGAGATAAGCTCCCTCGTACGCAACGGTGGCCTGACGCGGCCCCAGCCATCCTTTGAACTTAAGGGTGTGGAGAAAAAGAGCAACTGTTGTCATGTAAGACGACACAATCAGGATGCCGTGAATGGCTCTTTGATCCTCTGGCGTCGCTCGGCCCAAGAAGCGGATGTAGTTCAAGAAGAAGCCAATATAATGCTTTGCAAAGGAGTAAAAGACTTTGACGACATAAGTCGACATGACGCAGAAGAAGCGGTTTTTGTCCGACTTGTTCTTCTGATTCTCAAGAGCCGTCCGGAATCGTGTGGTAGGCCAGTGGGCGAATATAATAAGGGAGAAACACGAAGATAATTTCGACCGGCACTAATGCTCTGATAGCCTCATAGAGGCGGGTGTCCATATAGCAGTACTGAAATGCAAGCAGCATACTGAAGAAGCTATTCTCCACGATGAAGCGATAGCTCAGTGGCGTGCGGTCGGACATCGCAATAAATCCAGGGTCGTCCACTTTTGGCATAAACGTGAAAGTACAGGCTGCCGTGAAGCTCTGAATCAGTCCAGTCACTCCCAAACACCAAGCCAAGGGAGTGGTGATGTAGTGATCATAATGGAAGCTATACAAATACACGGCGGCAAAGAACTGAATCAGGAACAAAAGGCCTGTAGCCCTGTGGACCTGAAACCTGGGTCCAAACCACAGGCTGATCTGCGCTTTGACAGCTTTCACTAGCAATGTGCTAATCCCCGCAATCATTGCTCCCTGCTCCCGCCTCGACACGGACTTGAGGCTAGGGCCAAACTACCAGTCCGGTGCGCAACATGTATATTCATGCGCTGTGCTGTTGTGCAAAGCTCTCATCTTGCTCGGCAGCAGGCGCCAGCGCTGCAGACTCGTCAGGGTTTCTCTGCGAAGTGGTTTTGGCCTCAGTGGTCTGGACATAGCCGACGAAAGGACAGGGCCGCCACATGTTTTCCTCGACCATTGACTTCTGGCATCGTGGTCCGTGGTAGACCCAATGTCTACGTCCAATCTACGGAGTCATACTACTGCAGTTTCGCGCATCACCTCTTTGAGTGCCTTGGCTTTCCCGAGCTCGCCGCGTAGCTGGCTAATCCAGCACAGCTTACACCTGTCTGGGACGACAGCGCAGGCGGGCAAAAGCATCACGTTTTTCTGCAAACCGTTAAAGGGGGTCCGTACGCAACCTGGGAGCGCCTTAACAACACGGCACAGTGCAGGCCTGCCAGCATCAGCAGCCATCTCGTCGGCCCAATTGACTGCCAGCGAATCAGTTGCAGATTCGAAAGCTGCTTTGTTCTTCGTGGCCATGCCTTCCGCTCAATCCCCAGAATTGATCCCAGAATCAGCTCTGAGATTGCCTGGAAAACCGATCATGCATTCCTTTTTCCACCCCCATGCCATGGCTGACACCCGTCAGGCTCCGGCTGTCGAGAGTGGCAAACATGTCCGGATGATCATGTTGATCCTGAAAAGCCAAGCTATCCTTGCTATCCGGCATTAATCAGTTTCACGACGTCTCCTGCACAATGACACCTGACCTAGCTCAACACTCAGACAGGTGTCCAGATTTTGCTGGAGTCAAGTTGGCCCTCTGTCAACAAGAAACATACTTGGCCTAGAGCGGCTGGGTGTCAGGCGAGATGGCTACCAGCGACAAGCTGAAATTGTTCAAGCCAATGTTGAGCGCAAAAGCCATACTGAAGCAAATGACAGCCACCTCGATGCACGTCATGGATTTTCTGCTAGGATGCCGCCCATTGATCATGAGCTGTGTGTTCGGCCCACTCTTTGCAGGTCTTCAGCGTCTTTACCTTCTTCGTGTCTAAGCAGCTTGTGTTGATATTCGTGATTCTGCGGGGGTTCCGGGCCATGCCTGGTAGCCAGCGCAGCAAAGTCGGCCTTGCACTCCACAAGCCACAACGGACAAGATGGACAAGTGAATGTAAGGTGCCACGCCTGCAAGCAGAAATATGCAGAAGGCCAAAAAGGCCACCATCCTGAGAATTGAGCGCCACCATCTTTCTACCACCATCTTTCTACCACTGCTTTCAGTTGAAGGCTGTTGGATGGCAGTCAAGAGGAAGCCAATGGGCAGCCCTCGTCTGCCTGAACATGAAATCTGAAGCTTCAACTAAATCTCAAACACTTCAAACCCAGCTCACTCCACCTCAAGCTGGCTAGCCTGGCCTTGCTCTTCGTCGACTACAATTCTGGACAGGACGTTCTTGATGTAAAGATTCATGCCCGTCTGTGCCTCCAATGTGCCCGGTGCATTCACGTTGGCAGCTCTTGTATGAAGCCAAGTGCCCAGCCCCAAAGTAGATCAACAAAATGGCAACCGTCTCTGGTCCTGTTCAAGCAGTCTGGCTTGTCTGTGATTCAATGTGATTCATGAACCCCCAACTGTCCAAAGCGTGCCGCATTCGTAGCTTCGCGCCTCCCATTCCATATAGAGCCAGACCACCCAGCAGAGCAATAGCTGGTGGTGCCTGGGGCTAGATTCAATGTTTGCTTTCACTTCCCTTTTGATTCCCATGTGAGTATTGCAAGTTGTTGCCTCACTTTGCCAACTTTTCCCGGCTTTTTTGGGTTAGTCTGCCAGTCATTCGTACGAGAAGTCGCCCCGCACTACCCCAGCTAAGTCTGTTGACTTTGTGAAGTTGACAGCCATTGGCGTAAACCTGGCAGTGCTAACCCTTTTGCGAGGAGTCGCAAGACGACGCATCTCACGAGAAATACCACTCATCTCTGCAGCAACGGAGGACCCTCACCCAGAAGCAGGAAGGCCAAGGCACTGCTTGCTTCATGAAGCCTACGGACGCAAATGCGGTTCCCAGCTCCTCCGCCATCCAAGCAAAGCATCAAGAGCTTTCCAAGAATCAGGCTCCTCCCCTTTATCCCCGCGGTTCCAGTGGAACCAGCAGCAACCAGCCTTGATTGACATCAGAAGCAAATGCTCAGACAACAGGCACCACGCACACTTCCAAGGCACCCCGTGACACAACATTATCTTCTACTGAGCTACTGTTTCTGGTTGCAACGTACAGGTGCCAAGCGACAACCATGATCAGGAGCACGTACGAAAAACCGAAGTGCTTGCGCCGGGCCGGTTTTCCTCATGTTTGCAGAGCACGCATTGAGGACTTGCAGCGCGACCCAGGGCAGCAGAGCCACTTGGAGGGGCATTGTCCTCTCAATGCGGATATCGCTTGCGGAATGCTATTGTTTTGTTTGAAGTCCTCTCGAGCCTCGACTGCCGCAACAGGCACAAGCTCCTCAGGTCAGAGTAGCATACGCCGCTTGCTCCACGGCTTTTTGGTTTTTCAGCTCTTGGGTCTTGGCCATCTGGCACTTGAGCAGGCAAAGGGCTCACATAGATCCATAAAAGTGCAGCTTAATCAGTACAGCTGCGGCCATACTGTCAGAAGCAGATAGATAGAAGCAGCATCAACATGTCTCACGGAGGAAGCTCAACCCTTTGCAGAGGAAGTAGATTGTCTGTCAAAAAGTGTATTCCCTTTGGCACTTTGTCATGACAGTCCGGCTGCGCTGCGTCTTTGCAAACAACGCAAACATGTTGCCGCAGTGGGTGGCCTGAAAGGCCCCGCCCCAGCTTCTTTAACTGTGAGGACTTCCCCTGCTTTTCAGGATCGATCTCCGATCCCTCCCTCTCTCTTCAGCTCTGCCGAGGCTAGGCCCCCAATCCGCAGTGTTCGGTCGCAGTTCCCAGGAGGCCTGGAACCAAATAAATTCCGGTGGAGCAACCCGCTTAAAAGTACATACGCGCACATACTCTCTCTTCTTCTTCTCCTGTCGGCGCAAGAGGGCGCTCCCCCCTCCCGGAGCAGCTCTCTTCTTCTTCTTCTTCTACGGGCTAAGCTCGCCCCTACGGACGAGCCGGAGCACAGCTCCGAGCCCAGCGCGGTCCGTCTGTGCAGGTCGGGCACCAGCAAGTACATGCGCTCTCTCTTCTTCTTCTTCTCCTATAGGCTGTGCAAGACCCGAAGGTCTTGCTGGGGCGAACCCCAAGCCCGGGCGCACGCGCTCTCTCTCTCTCTCTCTCTTCTTCTTCTTCTATAGGCTACGCAGCATCAAAGATGCTGCGGGGGCGAACCCCCAGCCCGAGCGGTTCGTTGGCAGCAAGGAGGTTCGCATGTTCACCGGAACGTTAGGTGCATAACCCATTATCTTCTATTCCCCATTATCTTCTTCTCCCCCCCCCTTTCCGGTGCATGTCCCCTCTCTCACGGGAAAATGGTCGGTGCTACCTGCTGGAAAAACAGCCAAACGCTGGTTCGTGAGCCGAGGTAAGGTTGAAGAGTGATCATCATTTATCCTCCAAATAA